CACATCATAACATGACAACAGCATGCACTAAAGTAAACATGGTTTTACAGAATACCTACCCGACGTTTATATTAATGAATATGCACTTATGTCTGTAGTGTATGCAGAGATGTGAACACATAGGAGGCATGGTAAGACAATCAGTTTTCAAAAATCTGTGTGCTAATGAGGACGGTCCTCCCTTGAAGTGGACAATTTGAGAGGCTCTGAGTCCAGAGACTCATTCCAAGAAATTTCTTAGGGATTTTTTTTAAGAAACAAAAATGGTCTGACTTACCTTAATTGCCATCTTTATTTGTCCGACTGTGCTATAAAGTACTTGAGATTATTTCCAGAACTTAAATCCATCCTCAAAGGAGGAAGATTTCTCATCTCTAAGGGGAAACCAAAGGAAGGTGCCAAGCCCTGAAGGCCATTCTAATAGAGGAGTTCCCAAGATCTTTTTACTTGGTAGCACTATAGCCAATCTGCACATAGTCTCCCAAAAGACACTGTTTAAGGAGGGTGGGGTGACATGAAACACTTTGATTTTCTGTATGTTAAGAAAAGAAATTCCCACAAACAACCCTATAGTCATACCTCATATGTATACACTCACTTATACACATGTCTTTAAATACCATTAAATTACTAAGTGAGGAAAGGGTATATTACTTAAACAGAAAAATTGCTTGTTTGTTCCAGGAGAAATTCACTTTCTGAAATGCTAACTTTTGCATTCCCTTAGCTGATCAACTTCTGGTAACTTCTTAATTACTTTGCCTATCTCCCATGGAGCCACATGTCAGAGGCAAACCCATTAAACAATCGTCACATCTAATGAAGACATTTTAAACACTTTAATTACTTGAACAACAACAAAAAAGAAACAAAACATTTATAAAGCATGTACCATGGCTGCCTCAGGTTTTAGGATGTGGAGAAGTCAATGGTAGGCTGGATACTCTGTGACTACTTAAAGCCTTACTCATTTAAAAACATTTGTGAGACCTCACTGACTATGGCCATGGTACTTCTTTGCTTAAGAGGAGTGCAAGATCATTCAGAGAACACAGAGAAGCATGTCCACTTAACTCCAGTGCAGACACGGGGCAATACTCTGGTTTTGAAAAACACATCTATTTGCTCAGCGTAACTCCCTGCAGTCTAAGCATGAGCCCCCTGCCTCAAAAGCTTTTAATGCCCCAATCTATTATCCACTGCTTTCTAGGTCCACAGCCCCACGTGAAGTCTGTTTCCCTAAGTCTCTGGGACTCAGGCCGGTGGGGAGAATTTCCCACCCTGTCAGCACCTGGCATGAAGGTGCTACAGCCACTGCAGCATAAGGATGCACACCCAGGTGAAAACAAACAGGAGTAATGACTGGCTGCTCTGCACCGGACATTCTGAGCACCTCCTGCCTGAGTAACAGACACACTTAATTCTCTGTTCCACGTTCAAAACTAATTTGGTGCAACTGTTTCGGTATCTATGCCAAGCCTTGTGGAGTCAAACTCATACATGAGTTCCAAAGAGCAACTCCAGAAGACTTCACCCAGAAGAGCTCCACCACTGCCTGCTCTCCCAACCAAAGCCTGAGGGGGCCAAGGCAGCCCTGCCCTGCGTGCATGATTAGAATATGCTGAACTCCACATTACCATTGGCTGCCAGCTTCTGGGAAGCACAGAAAATGCTGAGAGAAGAAAACGCTAAGAAAGTGTTCTGCACATGCTGTGAAAGTTTTGGAAAATAATGTGTTTTTCTTGGCAGCTTAGCTATAGGGACCTGCAGACAGTAACAGTTCTTATGCACAGAACCACCTACTTAGTGAAACGCTAGTGTCAGAGACCTGACTCCAACTTCTCAAATTCCATATAATATCCTGGCAGCACACAGAAACTGACAGACAACACAGTCTAGGGTGAAGCAGAACAACGCTGGCATACCTTCTCATGAAGCCAGAGCCTCTCCCCTTCACCCTGAGACAGGACACTCAAGTTCTATAATCAGGCGCCACTGGGCAAGTTTGAAGTCCAGGTCTCTGGGAAGTGCAGAAGTATTTTGTAAGTACAGTTTGCAGCTGTGCTTTTGGTGGAACACAATAATTTGCATCTGTGCCTAGCATTTATAGGCAATTCTATGAGTTCTGGGCTTAGTCCTATTTCTTAGGCTCTGAGATGTGTGATAGCTCTCTCTCTCTCTCTCTCTCTCTCTCTGTGTGTGTGTGTGTGTGTGTGTGTGTGTGTGTGTACACTACGCATGTGCACAAACATCACAGATGGAGATAGAGATTGCCAAGGTGCAGTGCCACATGTTAGAGGATGCAGAGCCCAGCGCCTCTCCAAACTTTGTTTTAAATCATCCTAGCTTCTCCTGGCTGTGAGATTTCAGGAAGGGACTTAACCTTTCTGAGCCCATTTCTTCATCAGTGAAATCAGAATAATAAGTTCACCCGCTGTACTGCAGGTGGGTTAAGGACTAATTAAAAGGTACTTACTACACTGTTGGCATACAATTGGCACTAGAAAATACAGCTAGCATTATTTTTTCTGAAAATCTGTTTAAGATACTGTAAGCTGCCCAGAACTCAGAGCAGATGCTCAGTATATGGCCGGACTTCAGGAAAGCTATGACAATGAAACTATTTAGTGCCCTGGCTTGGCAGGAAATTTCCCATAGAAGAAGGCATTTTAAAGCTATAGATCTTGTTCTTAAGGAATGGTCTTGGTAGCTTAAGAGAAAAAAAAAATATTGTCAAAGTCCACAGTACAACACACTTGAAATCCTGAAACATGGCAGTGTGTTCATTTGTTTTCTGACAATTAAAACACTTGGCAGTTCAGGGGGACCTCAAAGAGTGAGTGAGTCTTATACCTGATTGGGGCAATGAGGTGTCTGGGGCATGAAGACCAGGCTTTGGGAGAAACGACTGGGTCTCTCACTCTAACCTATGTCTAAGGGAGGCAGCCCAAGCTTGGGGTGGCCCAGACCTAAGGACATTCTGATTCCAGTTTATGTTGGTCCATCCCCAACATAACCTGGGGTCAGAATGTCCTTAAGAGAGTTAGCTGCCACGTCCTAACCTCACCCACTATGAAACGTGGTGGGAACAGAGATTAGGATGGGATCTCTCTGCCTTCTCCCCACCCAGGTCCATCCTCGACCCTTTCCCCCACGGATGAGGCTTCCTGTGCCCTCTTCCCATACCCTAGGGCAGGCGTCCCCAAACTTTTTACACAGGGGGCCAGTTCACTGTCCCTCAGACCGTTGGAGGGCCGCCACATACTGTGGTCCTCTCACTGACCACTAATGAAAGAGGTGCCCCTTCCTGAAGTGCGGTGGGGGGCCGGATAAATGGCCTCAGGGGGCCGCATGCGGCCCGTGGGCCGTAGTTTGGGGATGCCTGCCCTAGGGCATGGGGTGAGCTCAATGCTCAGCCTCTCAGAGCTCCTCAGTTTCCCCCGTCTGCACAACGTGTACTCTGATGCTCAGTGTGAGACTACAGAAGGTGATGAGCAGGTGGCACAATGTGCAGTGCCTCCGACAAAGCAGAGCTCCAGAGGGCTGCTTCCCACTCCTCTGTCATACTGGGTGGCACAGAGGCTGGCCAAAGCCACTCATTTCTTCCCTCCCCTCTCCAGTCTATACCTTTTCTTCCTTCTATCATCTGAATTTGGAAAGGCTGTAACTTCACCAAGGTTACACACCCAGAACCAGTCCTAAAATAAGCTACCCAAGCAAAGTTCCCTGAATAGCAATGTCTTGAGTGTTTCATTTAGAAGGTACTTGGAAAAGGTACCCCCTCTTTTTCTTCCTTGAAGCAAGCATGAGGAAAGGGAACTGGGAAAACACTGATCCAAGATGACCTGGAGGGACAGAAACATCAGGACCCTGTAGGAGCATGTCTCTGATGGCCTGATGTGTTTCTCCTCTTTTCTAATCCAGCACCTCCTAGATTTGTAAAGGAAGCCAATGTCTGAAGAGTTGAACATGCAATGTCACAGAAGAGGTATAGGACCCACCACCTAACACACTCCTGGCTCTTTCCGTGGCACTTCTGCCTCACTTTGAATAAACTGCCTCAAAACTGAAATCCTGAAAAACCTGACTGACCACACTGTATATACTCTGACCTGGTAGGTTACAAAAGAAGTTCACAACAGAGACAACCTGGGGCCAGGTCTCACTGCTGATCGAGAGCAAGCAGAAGTGTGCACGGGGGAGGAAAGAGTGTGAATACACTCATGAGCTGCAACACAAGAAGGTATACGGGAGGCTGGTGAGATTCTGGAAAGCACTGAGACAACTGTAAATTGTCATCTGTTTCCTGGAGTGCTGTCCTAAGTCTTCTCCAACAGAGCAATGGAGTTTGGAAATGTCAAGCTCCTTGCAAGAGAGCTGATGTGAGAGACAAAAAAAGCAAGTGTCATGATCTTAATGCAAGATGTCACAGGGACCCACAGAATCTCCTGCCTCCTCAAAGCTTACTTAGTTCACAGTCTGAATGAGGTTCAAAGCTGCAACCCAGCTGCAAAAATGTGAAGTAGCCAAGAAGCTGGCACATGGCTTTGTCCTGCTGGTCACTATCAAACACAGCAGGAATGATGACAGGTACTGCTTTCATAAATCCCATACCTAAGGAAGTCTGCTATGTCTTATTAAAAAGAAAAAAAAATAAAGGAACAACAAAAAATAAAATTAAAGACTGTAAAGCAGAGACAGAGCTGAACTCAGAAGTCAGGATGGATGAGGACCAAGACCATAATCCATCCTGCTTAGAAAACACTGCAGAATTCAGAAAAGCTAAGAAGTCCAATAATCTCTTGAAAATCCAAACCAAACAGGTAATTAGGTGAAGACCACCTTTCAAATCCCCCTCGCCCTCCATGCTCCTTCTCACTGCCACACTCACACACAAGGGACACTCCATGGTTGGCACAGGCGACACTGCATTATGCCAAGACAGGCCCTCAAAATTTCTCGGAGGCTCTTAAACCAAACATGCTAAGAGGCAAGGAGAATGGGGGTATTCCAAGGAGGATCCACATTTGGGTTTATCTCTTTGTAATCAGAGAATAGGGGTACACAGGCCCTCCCCAAGAGATATATTTTCAGTACAATGAAAAATTCCATTTCCTATTTCTTAACTTTGTTTGCAAACCTACATGCCTCTTCTCTCTTCCACTATGTCCAATAAAATCCATTGCGTTCTCTTCTACCTTCAGTCACGTAGGTCTCCTGTTTTTGTGTTGAACATTTATGAAATGTGTTCTTATGAGTCTGAAATCTTTATCAGTTGAAATCATTCCTGATTTCCCATCTACGACCTTCTAGATCTTTCTTCTTTCTCTGCCACTTTCCTTGTTTGTCAATGTTGTGTTCTGAAATTCCACAGGGATGGCAGTTAGATGAGGACTTCCATCATCTCTCCGTCGGGGAACTCGGGCTTGTGCAGCAAGCTGCTGACCCGGCCTCTGTGGTCAGGCGACTTTCCGTGGCCAGGAGAGTTCTCTGCCAAATAGAGGGGAAACATCAACTGCCCATTCCACAGGAGGGGTACAGGCTTTCCCAGCTCTCTAAAATGGACCCACGTCCAATACCACTGCACACCCAGGATTCTCACCATAGTGTATGTGAGATGATCCAGCCCCACAGCAGGAACATGCAGAATGACTGGGTCAGGATTCAGACACAAATACAAACAAGGATGGTTATAGGAGAGGTTTCAGAGGGTGAGGATGACAGTGGCACTCTGTGCAGGAGCCCCTCACACCCTCTACTCAAAACCTTCAGGTGCATATTCTGAGCCAGGCACTTTTTACATGTTCTCTGGCTTACTCAGAAAAGAATTACATCTTTAAAAAGTGGCAACATTGTATTTACTTGTCTACTTTGAAAGGTGAAAATAAACAACCCCCTTGGAGGAAACCTTTAACTTAGGCCCCACATGGCCTATACCTCCTCAAAAGAATTCCTGAAAAGGGAGGTCCCCATGACCATGATTAGTGCAAAGCCAGGTCTGTTCTTACCCAGGACACTTCAGGACTCACTGCAAGGCTCACCTCTCCCAAGCTGTCCTCCCTTAAATATTTCAAACAGCTTATTCATCCTGGCCCAAGTGCTGTGTCACAAGTTAACAGACTCTGCAGCTCAATCGATTTTCTCCTTCCACTGGGATGTCCTCCACTGAGGCCAGAATCCCTGGCAAGTCAGCGCCCCTAAGGCAACAGTGAACTTGTGCTTTTCATGTACCCGATGCCTTATTCTGGCTCCCAAACATACTGGAGGGCGTTCAGTACCTATCATCCCTCAGAATCTGTTGTCACTCCTTCTGGGGAAGGGTTAGTTAAAAAGCATGCATTGCCATGGTAGTCTCGAGCTGTGCACTCATTTCAAATAGTAATAAACTAGATGTGTCTATACACATTTTATTCCCGTAATAAGAAAGGGCACACATGGCCTAAGTACATTAGGATAGCCACACTCATAAACATCCACACAGAGTAAGAGATGATGGGTGCTCCTGCTCCCTCTCTAGCTCAACAAAAGACTCTCAGGCCAGACAGTTCTCCAGTTTTCAGGGGTATCAAGGTGGGATAGCCCACATACCCAGTTTCTCTGCGGTCCCTTTGGCCGCTGGGTGTTTCAGGACGGGGCTGTGAGCAGGGGTCGTGCTCAGCCGGCCGCGGCTGGGGAGGGAAGCCATGTTGGGCCAGAAGAGCTCAGCACTCTTGTCGGTCTGTGTGCTGCTGTCCTTGCTGCCCGTCTTGGCGTGGGCACTGCTGGCTGCCGTGGTGGAGGCTGTGGGGGACAGTGCTGAGGCGGGCGGGGGTGGCGGCAGCGGGGTGGAGGCATGTTCGTAGTGCTCCTTCCCCAGCAGCAATCCTGAGGGCAGAGAACAGATTTTTCAATGACGTTCTTTTTTTTTTCTTGTTTTTCTTTTTTCAAAAAACAAAAACAAAAACTAGTCTTAGAGATCTGTTCCTTGTTGACTTATGATTACTTCATTCATTCATTGATTCATTCACCAAGCATTTAATAAACACTTATTATAAGCCTGATAAAATGACAAATACTGAGTGAATAAAAAATGAAAGACCTAGTTCCCTTCCTAAAAAAGAAACCACAGGTTTTTGTTTTGTTTTTTTTTTTTTTGAGTGGAGAAGTAGGTGTCAAGTAAATGGATTATAATTTAATATATAAACTGTAGGATACAATTATTCACAGGGTGGTATGGAAGAACAGAGAAGTGCCAATTGCCAGAGCAGGGGGGTAGGGAGGTTCCTGCAAGTCTTTCTAGAGACCATGCTTGCTGTCCCCAAAGCAGCCCAGTGGGCTGGCCTGAAGCATGGCCGTGTGCTTAAGGAAAACTACAAGGCTTCCCTGGTCCTAGAGACGTTCCCATTGGCTTGCTGCTCTTCTGAATAGTTCACAATTCCACCCCACTCCTTGTAATGGATGGACGGTCTCCCAAAGGCCTAGGTTCAAAGATAAACATGCTACCTACATGTTTCTGCAGTGGAACTGTAGCCTCCAAGAAGCAGAAAGCCAGCCAGTCTCTTAGGAAAGGCTACTTAGCCCCTCTCCTTACCCCCTTCCCCAAGAGTAGTGAGGCTAGGATGGGGAAGAGGGCATGCTGGCTATGGAAAACAGAAGCATGGTGTGCAGAGGTGTCCATTTTCCTCAGAGCTTTCCTGGAAAGCTGGGCAGGAGGATAATTTTTTATTTTTAAATACAGAACATATGCAAGAAAGTGCCAGCACTCTAGAACACCAGACTACAGATACTGTGGTAAGCACAACCAAGTATTTGTCTTTTTATCTTGTAGATAGCCAGCAATTCATAACATATCTTTGCCAGGGTTGTTTAAAGTGCCCATTCATAACTTAGGGCAATTCAGTTTCTTAGAGGCAGTGCTTTTCAAAATGCAATGTGCATACCAATAACTTAGCTATATTGTTAAAAGGAAGTCCTGATCCAGCAGCCAAGGCTTGGGATTCTGGATTTCTAAGAAGCTCCCCAATGGTGCTGGTGCCACTGGCCCACAGACCACAATGAGCAGCAAAAACCTTTGTCTGTGCTTCTAACATCATCTCACTTCATACTGCACGGCATTCCTGTGAGGCAGACCTTATCACCTATCTTACAGAAAAGGAAATGGAAGCTCAGAAAAACTAGCATCTCACAGCTAAGAAGCAGCAGAAATGGTATTCAAACCCAGCTGTATCTGACTTTGGAGTCCAACCTACACTCTTTCCACTTCATCGCCCAGACTGTGGAAACTCCAGAGTCTGCAGGATATCATTGTAGGGGATGACAAGTTGAATAAGTCACTAGCCAGCCATAGCTCCTGGGAGCCCGTGGACAATCAGGAAGATATCCATTGTCACCTCCACCTCCTTCCAGAGCCCATCGGGTAAGCAATGGTGACAGCATGGGGGGACCTCTGCAGTCGCCCATGAACCTGCCTCATCGCCTCAGCGAGTCCCTCCCTGTGTTTGTGACATGTAGACACCAATGACAACAATGAGGAGGAATATCACTGCAGGGAACATAGCAGCTCTTCCTTTAGACAAGTCCTCTGGCTCCTAGGCCTGGTTTAGACATGCCAGGTCCTTGGGGATACAGGCATAGACACCAGAGATGCCTGCCTGGCTGCATGTCACAAAACAGGCGACTCCCAGGGAGGTTTCTACCACAGCTGAGCAAATTTCAAACTCCTTAACCAGGCCTGTCTCCCAGCTCTCTCACTGGGTTGGAAGCTAAATGTCCTTGGGACAGTCTTTGAGGATCTCAGCTGCTGTCCACACACATCATTTTCTTTTCTTTTCTTTTTTCTTTTTTTTTTTTTTTTGAGGCAGAGTTTCACTCTTGTTATCCAGGCTGGAGTGCAATGGCATGATCTCGGCTCACCACAACCTCCGCCTCCTGGGTTCAGGCAATTCTCCTGCCTCAGCCTTCTGAGTAGCTAGGATTACAGGCACGAGCCACCATGCCCAGCTAATTTTTTGTATTTTTAGTAGAGACGGGGTTTCACCATGTTGACCAGGATGGTCTCGATCTCTTGACCTCGTGATCCACCCGCCTCGGCCTCCCAAAGTGCTGGGATTACAGGCTTGAGCCACCGCGCCCGGCCTCACACACATCATTTTCGAAGTGCATTTCCTTTGAGGGCAGGTGCTGTTGAAGCCACCAGTGGAGGTACTTCAAACAGATGTTCTGGCTGGGAGCCTTTGATCCCCCCAACTCTGTTGGGTTCATATGGAGGCTTTTATCCCCTCTGGCCCAGAGCAGCCAGTCTCCTATGGGGTCTTATGCTGAGCACAACTGGCTCTCAGCTCCACAGAGAAACACAAACACAAGCTGACCCAGGGAAATGCATCAAAGAAGGGCCAGACCCCTGGAGAGGCCAGAGTGCAGGGGAAGGGTGGGGAGGACCTGTGTGTGGGCATGCTGCCTGCTTCCCCTCCAGCTCTGCTAGCACAGCCAGGCAAACAAGCACACCTGCCCCCAGAAAACCTACTCCTGGCTAAGACCACAATTCGGGAATGATCCTCAAAATTCCACCCGTGCAATAACAATACAGCAAAAACTTACCAACACCACTGCCTTATGCAAGAGAGCACTTCTTCCAATGTGCTCTCCCCATTATCCCAGTCTTCCCTCCCATGCTCCATGGGGTAAAGCAGGTAGACACTGTCCTCCCTTTCTAGACATGGAAGCAGAGGTGGAGCCATCATACATCTGGTCTAGAGCAGAGCCAAGTTCAGAGGCGTGATGTCCCTAGGCTTTTCCATGAGAGCCTTTTGTGTTATAAGGGTCACCTCAACTTACAACAATATATAATTATGATCTGAGTCAACCCATGGCTAAGAGCTACTCCAGTGGTGCACTCTTTAGAATTTACACAATGCTTCCATATATCTCAGTGAATTTCTATAACTGAAGTATGACTGATTTCCCTCCCCACTTCACAAATGAGTAACCTGAGACCAGGAACTATTCAGGGACATTTCTATGTCCCATGAGTGGCAGGGAAGCTGTCTGCTCTTGCTTTTCCAATTCTCATCTAACAGAGGTGTGGGGCTCACCTATGCTCCCCTTCCAGGTCTTCTCTTCCTTCTTCTCCTCGGCCAGCTGGCTGCTGGTAAGAGAGGTCTGGCGAGAGTGTGTCCCAGTGGCCGCGGCTATGGATGGAACGGAGCGGGCAGGACGTAGGCTGGAGGAGTCTGTCTTCCCAGTATCTTTACGAGATCGCTGCTGCAAGACCTTAATCATAGCATCCTTCTCTATGATTTTGGCATGGAGATTTTTAATACTGTAAAACAAAACAAAACAGTCTTAATAAAAAGCCACTTGGTTAGAAAAACTTGAAACACTTCTCTCAGGCTGTCCCAAGGACTTTAAGTGTAATTTAGGGATAGAGGATGAAGTGCAGTGTGAGGCTTCAAACATTGATCATCTCCAAATTGTTAAGACAGATCTTTTGTAATAGATCAAAAGGGTACACTTCTGTGGCACCTTGGGAAACTAGGACTTTGGGAGGTACAGTTAGAATGACTGTGGCCACATTTCTGGACCAGGAGGCTGGGGACCATATTTAGAAGATTTAGCATTGGGGGTGGGGGGCGGACTGTCGGGGGTAGGGTAGGGGACAGAGAAGCATAAAAATTCTAAAGCCTCAAACAGTGTGAGTTTTCAACTAAAGTCAATTGCTCTATTTTCTAAGAAAAAAGAACCAGGATGGACAGGTTCTCTGGTAGAAGATGATTTTTCTGGAAGAACGCTGAAAAGTTTCTTTTCACAACTTTGATAGTAACTCACTGAGCCTATCTATCAATGGCTCAATTACTCAGCCCTGTTTTCATATCTGCAGAATAAGAGGCCTAGGGCTCCCAGGGCTTCACAAGCCCTCAGGTAGTGAAAGGGGACAAACTAGTTTTATTATGTCAAAAAGTCTGCTATAAATTTTGTGTAGCCCATCAGAAGACTGCATTAGCGAAATATGTTCTTTTTTTTTTTTTTTTTTTTTTTTGAGACAGAGTTTCACTCTTGTTACCCAGGCTGGAGTGCAATGGCGCGATCTTGGCTCACCGCAACCTCCGCCTCCTGGGTTCAGGCAATTCTCCTGCCTCAGCCTCCTGAGTAGCTGGGAATACAGGCAACGCGCCACCATGCCCAGCTAATTTTTTGTATTTTTAGTAGAGATGGGGTTTCACCATGTTGACCAGGATGGTCTCGATCTCTTAACCTCGTGATCCACCCGCCTCGGCCTCCCAAAGTGCTGGGATTACAGGCATGAGCCACTGCGCCGGCCCGAAATATGTTCTTTATTTCTGGTGGGAATGTATAAATTCTGGGTCAAAAAACTCTGAACCTTTGGAATATAATGTTTCCCCTTTTCAGCTCACAATGTCATAGAGATAGATACCAAGAAATAATACAGACATCTAAAGTCTTCTGTCATTAGACTCAGTCTCCATCTTAAAACCTGCAGGTGACATGCAATTTCGCCCAGAGACCTCCAGCATCAGACCCATTGGTGCAATTGGGGCGGAGAGTTTTTGGAGATCTCATGCTCATAGCCTTTCAGAACCAGACAGAGAAGCAATCCTTTTTGGAAGGCCTGGAGTGTAAGTGCAAACATGGGCTGGCGGGTCCCACGCACCACACATGGCCATCCCTTACGTGTATTCCATGTCTTGACACCTTCTGTTGGCCTGCACCACCTCCTCTTCCTCCTGCCAGATGTGGGCCTCCAGCGAGCTCTCTCCGTAGCTGCCATTCCGTGAGTGGTTGATGATCGTAGTGTCCCTGGCAACACAAGGACATGTGTTCAATCACAGGAAACCTTCTTGCTTTGTCTCAATGCAGACACAGAACGGAGACGCTGGTGTTCAAATTGGAACAGAGATCAGCTCTGCACCTCCACCTGCTCATGAAGGCCTTCCCTCCCCATTTCCCCAGCTCAGTTATCAATTTCATCTGATGCTCATACAGAGAAAGGTATAAATGCTCGTGGAGAGGTGACCACAGGGCGCCGTGCTAAAACTCTCTTCACAAACTCCACCCACTTTGCCTCTCCTGAATTCTGTCAAATTCCCTTCCTAAACTAGAGAGAATTAAGCAGCATCTAAGGAGAACAAAATAAAATTCAAAAATCAAGTCCCCTCCACCTTCTACTGACTACATTGTATATTTAGCTACATGGCATGTTATGAATATGTAAATCGGGCACCTAGAGATTTAATCTACTGACATATGGACACTATTATTATTATTATAATGTTTGTAGGTATTTCTATGTTTGTACTTTTTCATGCTTGTCCTGTATCTCCTTTTTCCAATCAGAGTTTAGGTTTTATGTCTGTTTATCACCCATACAGCATAGAGTACCTACTTCAGTATTTTACAGTAAAATGGGAGTTCGGTAGATATTTAAAACTGAGACTGGTCCTCTCAGAGAGTGAGGCTGCAAGCTGAAGTCTTCCTTCATGTTTATATTCTGTCTTACTTCTTCTTGCTTTATGGGCCCTGCCTGGGATACAGGACAATGTAATAGGCATGCTGGGTCCCAGGCAGAAAGACGAAGACAGGTGCTGTCCTTGACAAGTTCAGGGGAGGGGGGTACAGTGAGGGCAAGGGAAGACCTGGGTAGATTAAGAAGTAGTTTCACTGCAAGCATCTGTCTGACTATACACAACCAGTCACTGATAACTATTCCTGACACTGGTTTTGACAGTTTAATTACTCCTAACTAACAATGACTAGCAAAAATAAGATCACTGCATCATCTAAGTGATATACCTCAAGATGAAAGGCACAATAATGGCTCTGATTACATGAGTACTTAATTAGTAAGACATGATGTAGCCAAGTGTCTTACTTATTTTTAACTTCATATACCAATGTACAATCATACTGAAACCTTTTTTTATTTTTGAAACAGAGTTTCATTCTTGTTGCTCATACTGCAGTGCAGTGGCATGATCTTAGTTCACTGCAACCTCTGCTTCCTGAGTTCAAGCAATTCTGTCTCAGCCTTCCAAGTAGCTGAGATTACAGGCATGCACCATCATACCTGGCTAATTTTGTGCTTTTAGTAGAAGTGGGGTTTCACCATGTTGTTCAGGCTGATCTTGAACTACTGATCTCAGGTGATCCACCTGCCTCAGCCTCCCAAAGTACTAGGATTACAGATGTAAGCCACCATCCCTGGCCTGAAACCTTTTAAGCATTTTTTTTTTTTAACAGAATAGCCCAAAACAGCAAAAAAGCGGTCCCTTTAATGACAGCTATCAACATTAAAGAGCATTTACTTCATGCAGGGACTGGGCAGAGCATGGTAAACATGGTCTTTCATTTCGTTCTCACAGCTTGTACAAGAGGGATTATTATCCTCAGTTGCTAGATGAAGAAACCAGAATTAGGTGACTTTTCCAAGAACACTCAGTTAGTGAATGGTGAAAATGGATTCTAACCCAGGTATTTATGACTCCAAAGTCCACGCCCTTAACCATCACTCTATACTCTTGCAAGTTTCATATGTCTTTACGAAGAAGGTCTCAGCAAAGATGCATAAAGATAAAAACAAACCAAAGAGCATGTGTGAGAATGTGGCTCAGAAAAGTGCAAAGTGTCACTGAAAATATACTAAAGGCCAAACGATGTAGAAAGCAAACAGAACGCTTAAAACATTTGTAAAATTATAAATTCACACTATGGTGCACAAAATCATCAATATAGAAATTAGTGGTTAGAAGCATTTTCAACAAATTTACTTTTGGAGACTTTACATGAAGCTGGAAACAAATTCAAAAATTCATGTTTACACCGCCAAGTGAGGACAGCAAAGACAATTAGAGAAAAGCAACTTAGACAGTAAATATATGAAACTCTGAAAGAAATATTACATTGCTTTGAGATTTGTAAAAAGTTTCAAAACCTTCCCCACACATAAAAAATAAGCTGACTTTCTAAAAGTTCTGACCAACAGCATCAAGATGCATAAAGATGGAAAACCAGTTGGTGTACAGAAGTTATTTTCTTCGTTTAAAAATCATTGCTTATAAATAAAAGCATGCATCTGTGGCTGAAACATCACAAAACTAATGGCTAGAAATAGTCATTTTTACCAATTCGTCTGTGGCCAGCACCTAGACAGTAAGGGCTCAGAATGTGTACCTTTTTCAAAAATGCTTCATTTTCCCTTATTGAAAAAAAAAAAGCAATGCTGAAAAGACAGAAGTTTTCTTTGAAAATAACATTAAGATTTGAGCTAACTATCTGAGGTTCTCTGAACCTACATCTCCCACCCAGAAGGGGTAGTCTGTAATGGAGGGTAGTTGCTCACAGAATTATCAGGTGTTCAATAAAATGTGTAAAAGCAAAGTAGGCAGGGTGACGAGGGTGGAAAGGCACTCCCACCACCCATCCAACAATCCAAACAGGGCAGAGAAGGGGAAGAGTGGGACAGGATAAATCCCAGAGAATTCCTGTTCTCGGGGGTAAGAGCCAGTTCCCTCTGCACAAAGGATAAGAACAAGGTTGGGGCTAGAATCCTGTGGGTGGGTGACTGTGATTGGGTTCTGTGGCTCTACTTGCTCCCCACCCTCCCTTCTGTGCCCACTACAGGGTTTATGCTTTGGACTCATTCATTCCTCCACTTCTGAATCTTACTTTCCAGTCCCATTCATACCCTCAGGGCCCAGGATCCCAAACAGACATCTAATCTGATAAACCCACAGAAGCTGAAACGATAATGACTCATGGAAGCCCCTGTGTCATTCTCCAAGGTCACACATTTACCCTGCTACTGGGGTTTTAGTGTCCTCAGCCAGAGCAATGTGGTCAGGTTCCCAGCTCCCATCACTTATATTTCATTTCACATGTGATGTAAGTGACACTCAGAAGGGCTTGTCCCAGATCACACACGCACAGTCAGGAAGGGAGGGAGAAGCCCTGAGTGCAGGTGTCCTGCCTCCCTGTGCAGTGTTCTTTCCATTGAAATCACAGGGAGGGGCCATGTGTGGTGGCTCACACCTGTAATCCCAGCACTTTGGGAGGCCGAGGTGGGCGGATCACGTGGTCAGGAGATCGAGATCATCCTGGTCAACATGGTGAAACCCCATCTCTAGTAAAAATACAAAAATTAGCTGGGCATGGTGGTGGATGCCTGTAAACCCACCTACTTCGGAGGCTGAGACAGGAGAATCACTTGAGCCAGGGAGTCAGAGATTGCAGTGAGCTGAGATCGCACCACTGTACTCCAGCCTGGTGACAGAGAGAGACTCCGTCTCAGAAAAAAAGAAAGAAAGAAAGAAAGAAAGAACAGGGAGGAAACTCCCAGGGCAACTGTGGACAGCAGTGCACTAGACCACATATGTCCAAGAAGGCCAGGTCCCTCTGTGACTTGATGACAATCTGTTCTCTTCCTCAGAATAGAGAGGTAATTGAGTTATTAGCTTAGAAAACAAAAAGTTGAATAAAAACCATTTTAATTATGGAAAAATCAACCAGTGTTTCAAAAGGCTTCTCTGTTCCCATCCATATACTGCAGGGACAGAACTGGAGGCTGCAACTTCCCTCCAACTCTCAACCGAGGACACCGGAGCTTCACTGCACCATCTCAAGTGTCCATCCCCACTCCCAAAGTCTCACTCTCAAGGACACTGTGGGTTGACACTGTGGGTTGCTTCCCGTCAAAGTATAGAGACACATAAACAACGTGGAAGCACAGAAAAATGATTCCCAAATGGTCACTTTACACATGGGTCTGTAGGTCTTTCTTGGTTCAAGTGTGCTGTGGCGCCCACTGCAGACACCAAGGCCCGAATGGTGGTACTGCTTTCTCCAATTCCTGGAGCTAACATCTGTGCATACTATTGGAGATTCTCCCCCACTTCCGTAACAAACCTGAGGGTCCATGAATAACTTAAAGAACAGCCCCTGTCTATCCCAACAGGCTTTCCCGTATGTAGTCATTAAAAATATAGTAACCCATCCCAAGGCAATGTGGACCAGACTACAGAACCAGGTCCATCCTTGGCTTTTACGCTTCTCGCTTGGTTCATGTCCTGACATCCAAAGAGCACCAGAGCCCTTATTTATTAAGAAGTCCCATTTTCTGGATGCTCCTTTGAAATTTGAGGATCCTTTCCACATAAATTGACCCTAATGTTTGGTGAATTCAAAACAACTTTAAGTTAAATGCCCAATATAACTTATGGGGAGAAAGCAAACTGGGTGAGAGGCAGTGAGGAGCCGGATGGGTCCCCTGCACAGCCACCCGTGTGTGTGCAATGACTATGCCTGCAGCTGAAATCCAGTAGCCTAACATCAAGAGGAAACTGCCTTACTCACTCTTGACAACAGTATGTTTTAACAGAACATTTGGGAGTATTTTTGTGAATTACTGCACACCTTGAGCTAGCTTATAAAGATAGAATAAGCCGTGCACCTACAAAAAGAAGGTAAGGTAACAGAGGTAAAAAATGTCAGCAGCAGAAAAGAATTTCAAACTAAGTGAAATCAGTTTTCAAGCCAGGAAGATCTCCATTTGACACATGGCCCCACCACTCAGTACCAGCGTGATTAGGAATCAACAACTGCACCTCTCTAAGCCTCATTTTCTTCACTTGTAAAATGAAGATGGTAACAATATACCTGCTCTCAGGGCTGCTATGAAGATTATCTATTCTTCTAGTTTGGCCCATGATATAAACACGGCATCAAAAGGTGTCTTAAATATACTCTCACGACATCACTCTTGGTGATTGCACAGTATTTCTCTGTGCCATGTACTTTAAATTATTGAATGAACCTCCTCTTGTTGAAATGTAGGCTGTGTTAAATGCATTGATACTTTCAATAACACTGTAATTATTTAGACATTCATCTTCAGACACTTATATGTTTTTCAGATCAATGTCTAGAAGAATTGTGGAATCAAAGGGAAGATATATATTGCCAAATCATCCTCCAGAAATGTCATACCACCTTGTTCTCCAACTAGCACTACAATCTCTTAAGAATAATTTTTAGCTACCTTGCTTCCTGAAATGGGCCTTGGACATCTCTGGATACCGTTTGTTTTGATTTTTTTAAACTGTGCTTTTACAACCACCAGAGTTCCACTGGTCTCACCTCTCAGCTGCTGCAGTGGCTGCGGCATTCATGGCAAAGTGTCGGATGGTGCTCTCCTCCAGGTACTTCTGCTCCCACTTCGTCATGTCGGCCTCCAGGGCCAGGATCCGCTCCTCCTTCTCCCGCACAAGTTCCAAGAGGGCTGGGGCATTGTATTCTGGTATGTTGGCTGGCTGGCCATTTCCATGTTTCTGAAGGAGTGGAAAAAACGTATTGACGCTCAAAACCACATCAATGCTGTCTGCACAACTGCCCATATAGAACACATGAGGTTCCTTAGATCCTGCACAATTCACACACCATGCTACTTCACCTCCAAATTCCTCTATTGTAGTTAATTCTCATGGAGCTCTGAAATACAGACAATACTGTCCCAGTTTTACAGATGAGAAATAGAGTTGCTGAGGGATTAAATTAATGATGCAATGTCTCTCAGCTAATCAGTAGTAGAGTCAGGATTCAAACCTGGGTCTGTTTCCACAGGTCAAGGCCTTTGCATACAAGAAGTGGCTTATCTAGTGGTGTGCAGTTAATTACACCAAAAGAACAGGAATTAAGTCTTGACCTCCTGGTCTAGGGTACTTTCTCGAGAATTCCACAAAGTGATTCCAGTTGTTTGTTTCCCCTAAGGCTGGCGGGGGAAATGGAAGGCAAAGGAAGTGGGAGATGCCCTAACTTGCATGGTTGCTGACTGCAACGCAGGGAAGGGAGATATTCATACCTGCTCCACTCAGAGGACTGAGAATGAGAATCAAACTACATAATGTATACGAAAGCAGAAGACCTCTAGCATAAAGCAAGCTCGTTTTTCAGCTCTTTCTATCTGTGTTAATAAGAGAAAATAAAGCCATTTTCTGGATTGCTCACAAACTGAGGATGTTAATACCTCATAATCTTTTTCCTTTAATTAGGTACACTATTTCCTCTAAAGAGCATGACACAGAAGATGGTGTTCTAAGAGAGTTCTGCCTTCAGAGCAGCAGCAGAGATAGATCATCTTGGGGTCTCAGGGTTAGAGGCCCAGTCAGAGTGTGGACCAGGCTTCCTAGTACTCCAGGGAGAACGATTTCATCGCAGCTAGTCTATGTCCTAGGGTACACATTCCCCTCATGTTTTCCAGTGGTTGCAAATTTAAAATGCAGAGCTGGATGCAAGGTGAGAGGTATATGAATGCTTTATCCAGAACCACATAATCCCCTAGATTAAGAAAAGGACTGGGGAATTAGCCAGAGCAACAGCTGGGCACTTGTGCCATACTGATGGAATCTAATCTTATCAGAGAGAAAAAATTAAATGGGCCTATGGGTTTTTTGTAAACCAAATTTTGTTTCTATTCAATTTTTTAAAGCTACAAATACAAATTATTCTAGGAAGTAGTGTCTTAGCCAATGACCAACGTTCTAAGTAGGAAAAGAGCAGAAGGGCATACCTGTCCTCACCTGACCTGTGCAGGAGGGGCACTAACTCCATCTGGCCAGGCACCTAGACTCAGGCAGGAGAACAAATGAACCAGTCCAGCGAGATGAGAAGCTCCTTTATTTTTAGAAACTTTCCAAGAAAAAGCTCCCATGGCCTCACTAAGCTGCCATCTATGCTTGTCGGCTTCTATCTAAATCCCTTCTGTTACCAACTCAGCTGGCTTATTGCTACAGAATCCTTTTAACCTCACATGAGATCATGACAACTCTTTATAGTGCCCCCCTCAATTCAGGTCATTAAGAGTTATTTATATAAATGCATGAATGTCAACATTCAAGGGTACAGAGCTAGCTTGGTCTAATGGGTAAGTGTGCTACTGAGAAAAACAGATTAACGGTCAAGTGGGATTCAGCTAGCTAGACAACAAGTACTGACTGAGCATCTACCATGTGCCAGGGATGCAACAGTGAACACTACAGATTAAGTCTTCACCTTCAATGTGTTCTCATGGGAGGAATGTCCTCATTAGCTATATGACCTTGGGCTGGCCCCTTTAGTGTCCCTGTGCCTCATTTTCCTTTCAAAGAATATTCTTCAGGAACCTTCTCTCTTCACTCTCATAGGACTACTGTGGAAGTAAGATGTGAAACTTAATTAGAGCTCTTTGTAAAAGAGATAAAATTGTGAGTTCTTAAAAATGTAAATTCCCAGGCCGGGTGCAATGGCTCATGCCTATAATCCCAGAACATTGGGAGGCTGAGGTGGGCGGATCACGAGGTCAAGAGATCAAGACCATCTTGGCCAACAGAGTGGAACCCCATCTCAACTAAAATACAAAAATTAGCTGGGCGTGGTGGTGGTGTGTGCCTGCGGTCCCAGCTACTTGGGAGGCTAAGGCAGGAGAACTGCTTGAAGCTGGGAGGCAGATGTTGCAGTGAGCCAAGACTGCACTGCACTTCAGCCTGGTGCCTGGAGAAAGCAAAACTCTGTCTCAAAAAAAAAAAAAAAAAAAAAAAAAAGCAAATTCCCTTCTCTCTTTTATCTTTTTTCTCTTTCACTTTCCTCCCAGTTTCTAATAATGCTGAAGTACCATTTGACCTACCAAGGTAGAGAAGCAATTACTTATAATACAGAAGTTGTTGATTAAGAGCTTTTCTTTCTGCTAGTTCTATTGTCCCAACCTATCTTTCTCTTTCTACCTGCCTTAAATAACCCACATTTCTGTTGACGTTGTTTTCAATGAGGCTGGAAAATCTGGGGTAAGGGCGGAATTTGGGAGAGGGCACCACAAATGCCCTAAGACCTCAAATGACTCTGAAGGTAATGATGGTAATAAAAACAGCAGTGAGAGAGATTTGTTTTTAATCAATTGCTAAGCACAAGGCATTCTGAGAAGTAACTTGCTCAGATTTTATTTGTAGTTACAAGTGTGAGGTAAGTATAATTTACTTGCCTCTCTTTATAGACAAGGAGGTTGAGGCTCAGAAAGATGACTTACTCTAGGCTACTTTTCCGGTGGGAGGCAGGATTTGACTGTGGCTGGTTTAAGCCTGGGGCCCATCCTCTGAATCAACACACAATTCCATGCTTCTCTGCCCATCTTCAGTGTATCAGCCCTTCTGGAAAGCTCCAGAAGCAATAATCGGAGCTCACTTGAGGGCTCCGTGTTGTTAGAGGGGGCCAAGTAGACAGGCTCAGCTGTGTCCTGGCATGAGTCAGAGGGCAGAGCCCTTATTTGGGCTGTGGATTCAACAAGAACTCTAACCTGCACTCTTCAAAGTCTCCTCAGAATAACATCCTATGGGAGGTGGTGAGTCCATGCAGTTGGTCTATTGTCCTGTTGAGGGTGGAGATGACCAGGGGTTTTGTGACAGTGTGACCCCAGCATGCTTTCTAAAGCTAGCAGATAACTTCCTCAGACACAGGGACGAAGGAACAGGGTATGGCGTGGAGGGTGGAAGTCTTTCCCGTGGCTGCTGCCCAAGAACTGGCAGGCACATTCATGATCTGCCTGAGGGTGAATGAGGAGGAGGGAATCAGAGGGGCCCTGGATCATCTTTCCCGGACAGGCTGAGTTCCTCAGATGACCCCATGTTCTCAGGTGGACTCCGAGTCACACCTGGCGAGGCCAGCAGAGCTGCCCCCCAGACCAGCCCACAGGTACCAAATATGAGTTTAGAAAAACTTTGCCCTTTTAAAAGTATCTGCCATATGGAACTAGTAAAAAATTCAAAATGTTTCCAGTTGATTTTTTTTCTCTTGTAATAATATTTGAACCGTTTTTTGGTTATAAGGTAATGTATGCTTACTGGGAAAATTAGAAAATAAAGTAGTATTACAGGAAAAAAAAAATACAGGTTGAGCATCCTGAACCTGAAAATACAAAATCCAAAGCACTATAGTCTCAATCAAGCATTTCAGATAAGGGATACTTAACTTATATTTATCTTTTTAATGAGTATCGAGAACAACAGGAAAATAATCCCTCAATATATATCATAGGAGGCAGATTAATGCTCTCATTAGAAACAAACAAACAAGCCAACTATTTTCAAAGAGATGCTAAGCATCACAGTTCTGTTTGGAGACTGTCTCCTCATCTTCGATCCCACATCAGCCATACACAGCTGGGGGTCTGCCATCAGCTCCCAAGCACAAATTCAAAATGCAAGCAGAGTAATTTCCCAGGAGAGCCTCAATTCTGAAATTTCTGTCCCCCACTGGTGCTGCTCAGCCTGTCAGCAGCATTCATGCACAGCAGGAATGTTGTTGCTGCCTGCCTGAGGAAACTGCGTGGGTGAGCCTGCATGGCACTGAATCGTGCATATAATCAACTGTACTCTGTGGCAATTAAGGTATTTTTCAGATAATTCTAACATCATGTTTCTTGTTCTTCATAAATGACAGGGATAATCGAGGTAAGTCTGGTTTCACAGCACTCAGAAGAGCCAAGGGTAAGTAATCTAACTGTAGGGTGTGGACAGCATATTAACCAGGAAAGAACATTCTTTCTGTGCTCTAAGAACCAAGATTTGCCTATTTGGTCAGCCAAAGAAAGACTCATCAGTGTCTACTGCGGGCCAGTGCTGTACCTGGAACCAGGGAGAACCCCTGTCCTCAAGTTGGAGAAGTGACAGTCTCAGCAACTGAGCAACAGAGAACAGCTGAAGGGTGTACCTGTGCCAAAGTGTGTGGCACAGATTATAAATATCAGATGTCCACAGACAGACCTGCCTTTTCTTACAAGCTATCTACCAAGCCAAAGCTGGGAGGCGGAGGTGGGTTTCTTAGTTTACTGGGCAATATCACTAACACCTCTTTCCCCAGCCACGTGCACGCACCTAGAGGAACTACATTGCCTGCCCTGCGAGAGGGCTGAGCTGGCCTGAGTGCATGCGCAAAGTGTTTTCAAGTGTTTCAACCACAACCATTATGCCCTATCCAGTAGATAATTCCATGGGGCCCTGCCTTGCATTTCCCTGGTATCCCAATTTAGAGCATATCCCTCACCAGCTGTGTAATACAGGTCTCTGCTCAACATGCTGGCTGAGGTGGACAGGCTCGTCTGGGGTCAGGAGCCTTTGACCAGTCTTCTTCCTGCTTGCTGTGCTGCAGGTGAACCCCAGGCTGGGCGTTTCACTCTGCTTACTCCTAGCTGAGTATCATGCTAAGCTGTCACCAGCAGAAAAAAAGAGGCAGCAGGAATAGGAACTTCTGGTTTATATTATTTCTAGGGATGGTCTTAAATCCCTTCTTCTCCTTTACCTCTGAAAACTCATTGATCATCATGCCCTACTAATGTCACCCCATTATTGGCTCTTCCCTTCAACTTCTCCACGGGTTCTCACTGTCACTACACCCTAGGCTGTACCGACAACCTTCAGGCTGGCCTCTGCGACTTTAACATTCACCCTCTGGACGGTCCTTTGACATTAGAGGGTTTTCTCGCTGATCTCCTGCACCATATTTCTGTCCAGCTTAAAAACTTCCCAGTTGTTGGCACTTGGTTGACTACAGGGAAAAGCCCAGTCTCTTAGCTTGACCTCCACAAGTGGCCTCAGTCTCCTCACCCGCCACTGAACTGGGCATTATCCCCTAGCTACCTGCACCCCGCTGCCCTGGACCTGCCATGCCATTTCATGGCCCTGTCCTTTACACATCCTCTCTTTCTACCTCTGATGTTCTTACCCTTGAATGCCCAACGAACTCATATTTCAATGTCCAGCTCAAATGTCCTCCTCTCTGAAGTCATCTAATGCTGGATTCCCCTCTCCCCAGCCCCAAGCTGGTGACCACTTTCTCTCTGTGAGGACGTATGTCACTCCAGTGAGTGGACTGTTTGCCTCCTCTCCTGTTCGCTAAATGGGTCTACTGAGGACAGGGATTTCTTGTTTCCCTCTGAATCCTGACAGCGAGGTGCAGCATCTGGCCCACAGTGGATGTTCCATACATTTGCTGAATGAACATATCCAATTCCTCCACCAACCCATGCCCAGTTCCTTACCTGCTGGGTTCTCAGCGCGTCCAGCTCTCTCTCCAACCAAGTCCGCAGTCTTCGCTCCATCTGCTCTCGCTTCTCACATGCAGACTGCAGCTGGGTCAGGGCCTGCTGCAGCTTCTCGACTTTTTCAACATATGCTTGCTTCTCTCGTAACTGAGTGCAGAAAAGTAAAAAAGAGCACAGAATTTAGACCAGTGATTCTCAAAGCTGGGATAGAGGAGGTGGGGTCAGATTACCTAGAGATCCTATTTAAACTACAGGTACATTTACCTCCCACCTCCCTACTCCTATCCTCCAAGTGCACTGGAACAGAAAAGATTTACACCTAGGCTGCCATTTATACCTATGATGGCCAGGATGCTTGGAATTGAAGACCCTACTCGGGCACCTGCTTTCGGTAACTTATGCAGCTTTAAGCTCAATGCTTTGTTATTGCTTAATAATTTCTAAATTTTCAGGCATTGGAAGTGAGGCTATAAAGAGTTTTTGCACATATGTTTATTGCAGCATTCTTTATAATAGCAAAGACATGGAAGCAACCCAAATGCCCATCAACAATAGACTAGATAAAGAAAATGTGGTACATATTACACCATGAAATATTATGCAGTCATAAAAAGGAATGAGATCATGTCCTTTGTAGGGCTGTGAATGAAACTGGAAGCCATCATTTTCAGCAAACACAGGAAAAGAAAAACAAACATTCCGCATGTTCTCACTCATTGCTGTGAGTTGAACAAAGAGAACACATAGGAACAGGGAGGGGAACATCACACACAGGGGCAAGTTGGGGGGTGGGGATAAGGGGAGGGAGAGCATTAAGACAAACAGCTAATGCATGTGGGGCTTAAAATCTAGAGGACGGGTTGACAGGTGCAGCAAATCACCATGGCACACATATTTCTACATAACAAACCTATATGTTCTGCACTTGTATCCTGGAACTTAAAGTAAAAATTAAAAATAAAATAAATCAAATTTTTTAAAAAAGAGTTTTTGGTATCATGAAGAAATTCTTATTCTATAAGTCAAGTGAAAAATCCAGAATCAAAAATCATATACAACATTATCATAACAATGTCGTCTGTTTATCTATCCAGGAAAGAAAGGCAGGAATGAAATACTTAGAGTATTAAGCATGCTTATCTACATAACAGAATGGCAATTTTCTACAATAAGCATATATTACATTTATAATAGAAAAATTAGGTATATATGTATATATGTATGTGTACTTATGTATGTGTGAATAAATAAAAAACTTTCCTATTATAGGTATCTATGGAGTAACTTTGTCACAAAGGTTTCAGAGTCCTTTATATATTGGTAGTTGGCAGCCTTGAAGAGATGGGAAGTGCATAGTGAATATTTAACAACACAATAACTGAGGATATGGAAATTAAGGTTAAAATGATCTATGTAAATGTCACATCAGGTATGGATTTAGAATTATGACCAACAACTTCCAATTCTTACTCTTGGAATTTGTGTTCTTTTAATTAGGAGTTTGGCCCATGTTCATAAATCCTGGGCATATTGACAGCATTCTGAGAACTAGCCAAAATCAGGCCAAAAATCAGGCTTAATCATCGACTTGATTTGGTCCTGAGTGAGAAGACACTCAATGCTATTTCCTGTCATTCTGCACCTGGGGTTATTCAATCCTGAGTTCAGTGATGACACTGGCAAGTTGGAACATGCTAGTGATTTCAGAACTTGTGGCTAGGCGAGCTTTCTGACTCAGCAGGCAGCACCGCCATGAGTTATGACTATATGTCCTAGCTGAAGCCACTGGAATAAAATGGAGATGCTCTCACCTTTCAAGGAGCAGACAGCAACTTTACACTTTTTTTACACCTGTTCTTGGGATCCATTTTCATCTGGACCTTTCGTTCCTTGTGCTTTTGATTGCCCAATTCCACAGGCTTCTGAAGACCTACTAAGTGAAGGTTCCTGCAACCTCATCTGACAAAATATTTTGTGTGTGCGATTCATACCCCACTTACCATATCTTCCACTGTATATACTTTTCTGAATGCGTAGACACTAGAATATAAGCACCAAAAGATTTGCTGATTTTGGTCCCTGCTGGGCAGTGAACAGGGTATACCCAATGCCTGGAACAGTGCTTAGCACTTAGCAGACACCCAATAAGTATTTGTTAAATGAATAACTATTATCCCTAAGCAATTGCAAGAACCTTGACGGCAGGAATCTGTCTCCTTTACCTTTGTATAAACCTTAATTCTAGCAAGGCATATATCCTGTTGAGGATGATTAATAACAGTAATTACATCAGCCAACATTCCTGGAGCACTACCATGATTCAAGCATTGTGCTTTGTAAATAGTACCTCATTTAATCCTCCAAATAACAACAGTAAGAGGCAGTAAAGTCCTTTATTACCTCCATTAGAGATGAGGAAAATGTTCAAGGTTACGTGACTTGCTTAAGGTCACACAGCTGACAGGCCGTGGAGCCAGGATTCTCATTTACAACAGTCAGCTCTAGAGTTCACTCTTACCCACCATGGTAAATTACAGTAGGCTCTCAATATCTGACTGAATTAAGTCCCTTAAAGGAAACTCTAATTAGAAAGGAGTGATGCTGGAAGCAGACCTATGAGACATTCTAGAGAGGCTACATTCAGTCCACCAAAGATTTCGTATGAATATAAGAATAAAAAAAGACCTATAATGGTGGTTATAACTTGTCTTCAAGAAGCACAAGTAACTTTTACTTTAATAGAAATGTTAAAACTAAAAGATTTTTTAAATCACAATTTTCCTTAGCTCCACTCATGGAGATGGAGATGTCATTTCAGTGATGACAATAATGAAAAGCCCCAGCCTCCCTTAAGCATAAAAGATCTGTCTTTAAGGAGTGAGGTCACTTTCTGTTCAACAACAGTTGGTTTAGTAACAGTACTGTTTCCTGTGTGCCCAGCAACAAGCTAAGCACTTCAAGCAGACTTTCTCAGTTAAGACTCTTCCAGACTTTGGGCTTCTGCTTCCTGGAATGGATCCTGCTCAGGTCAGCCTGTGTAACACAGAGGTACCTGCCGCCACCACCACAGGGCACTGGAAGGTGTGAAGCAGCAGGCCCCTGGCTGCCTGCCCTCAGCCTCTGCTCCTTTTCTTCTTCTTCTTCATCTATAACCTGGATTCCTTGGCTTGGACCTTGGAAATGGTCATTTTAATTCTTCAGTCAGGCTTCAAGGAAAAACCTACCTCACAACACTTAAGCTAAAGGGTTGATTTCATCAGAAACTACTAAATGCATGATGACTAAATAAGACACGTGTCAACTGATGGGCTGTAGGCTGGGCTTCACATGGAGTGTGAGGGCTTTGCTGATGGGATTCTCGTGCTTTTCCTACTTTGCCTGGCACTAGAATGCCTAAACTCTGTTTTTAATCACTTTTTTTTTGAAAAGCTTCCCACATGCCTCCCCTGTCTCAACTCCTTAGAATTGGCTCTGGTTAAAGTAGCTGGGTTAGGAGGAGAAAGTGAAAGGCCTCAGAGCTCTGCTTCCCCTCTCCCTCCCCCAAACCCCATAGCCTGGTCTCACCTCCTCTTCCAGCTTGATGACCCTGGCCTGGGCATTGCTCAAGGCCTGGTCCAGGATCTCAATGTGTCTCCGATGGTCCTCACTTGCAGTCCGCACTGCTGCTAACTCCATTTGTAACTTCTCCTTTTCCTTCAAGAATTCTTTGTCTAGAATAAGAAATAAGAACAAAACTACGTGTATCAGAAATTGCTCACCCTCTAAGCTCACAGCCAGTCTACATCTGGCAAGAATTAAAAATAAAAAAGCAGGCAAATAGTGGAGGACTGAATTGCTGTTTCTGCTGCCTTTTAACAGTGGTAGTAAGAAGGTAATGGTTTTCTCAAAAACCACTGTCAATGGTAGATACATTCCAGGCCACACTTGTGAACAGTACACAAAGAACTAGTGACCCCATATCCTCCATAACTTACTTCTCTAAAACACTGGCTTTCATACTTCAAATTAATCTTGTATCTATTATTACTTTTTATGCTTCCAAACTTCCCTGCTTCAATCTTCCAAATCTGTGATGAAAGGGTAGGTAATATTAATAATAATATTAACATTCTCATTCATAGAAAAATAAACCAAGGTCCCGACAGGTAAGCTCCTTGCTGAGGCTAGACAGCAGAGAGGGACCTGAAGAAGAGGACACTGCCTCTTTTCTGTGGCATTTGAAATGGTGCCTCTGAAACTTCCTTCCAAATCCGTGGAAAACAGGCGTGTGAGATACCTAAACAAAGGGGTTGGTAGCAGCCCACTAGCGCTGCCCACCCCCATCCACAGCCCTGATGGGACCAAAGCATTTTGTACTTTCTGTGCAAAGTCACTGATATTTGAGCACCCAACCCTAGGTTTGGACAACATCTCAATGAGCATGGTGCCTGCTGGCCTTGTCCAAGCTCTGGAGGGCACTCAGGTATTACTAAGCAGGCAACCTGGAAATGAACCACAGGATCAACCTAAGCATAAAAGTTCTTCTCTTTGTTAAGGGCCACCAAGTATACACTGATGTTGACCAGAAGCAATAAAATGATAATCTGAGCTCAAGAACAGAAGCCACAGCCTAAGCTTCTCATGTTCTACAAATCCATGATCACTCTTTTTGCTGTCACAATGACAGCTATTTAGATAGAGTCCTGAGTTAACAAACACCCATCCCTTCCCCTCTAACACCTCCCCACAATAAATACATGATCTCCGCATTTGCTACTTGCTTGATAAGCAGTATCATAGCGTAGCTAAAGAAAGGATTTTAGCATGAGAAAGACCTGGATTCAAATCCTAGGCCAACTGTTTTCCAATTATGAGGTCTCAGGTTGAGGTATTTAATCTCTCTGTGCCTCAGCTTCCTCACCTATCAAATGGCAATGGTAACACCTACATCACAATGTTGTTATGATGATGCTGTTGATGAAGATGATGCTTATAAAAGTGACCTGAGCACTTAGGACTTTGTTTTGGTTATTATTGATTCCCTGGGCCAATAAGAGCACCTGGCTCAAAAACACTGGTGAATGAATGAATGAGTCTTTATTATGTGCCAAGTTCAATGTCCACTGAACAACACATCATAGCTTCTGTTAGCTATTAGGTATTCAGTATCCTCGTGATCTCCTAACACTCTTTGTTACACAGCTGTCCACTTGACCTTCGAATCCACTGCTTGCTTACAAGCCACTACGCCTCAGATGGCCAGTACTGACCATGGATACCACTGGTTCCTTCATCTGCCCAGGCTCCCTAAACCCCACAGTATATGTTACAAAGATGTGGAGACTGGACAAAAGCTACATTAGTTTCTGGAGTGTTTTGCAGACCTCTGAAATTCAAACATCTCTGTACTGAATTTGGTGACTTTAGACTTCAAGCTCCAGAAATATCATTTAGTATCACTCACACTGGTTCAGAACTCCTTGTCCACTGACAGGAAGTAGTTCGGTCAATTATAAAGTTTTAAAAACAATGTTCATGATAATAGTAATAATAATATCTTTCCATGTCTGTTGAATAAGTACTGTGTTCCAGGAATAATTACTTATAGTAGTCCTTTTATTCTAAGTTTACTGTATGAGGTAGGCACCATAATTCTTATTTTCCAGCTGAGGAAAATGCCACTAAAGAAAAGGATAAGTAAGTTGCCACAGAGGTGATGATCATCAATGGTAGAAACATAAGTTGCATTTATCTAATGTGTATTCATAAACATGTCCCTGTACTACCCCTCTTTTGTAAGCATGCATAAGTATAGAAAGGTCCCAAGATAACAGAGCTTATTATTGCACGGATTTAAGTTATATCACAGGTCATATATCACTGAAAACACAGCAATTATGTTCACATGTGTAACCATTTACAAATATTAACTAATGAAGCATCTACTACAGAGAGGCATCACAGTACTGGTTAAAAGCATGGGGCTAGAATCAAAATGCCTGGGTTCATACCCAGCTCTTCCACTTATGGTTCTGTGACTCAGGTAGTAAACAAACCTCTTTGTGCTTCAGCTTCTTTGCCTTTAAACTAAGCATCACAATAGTACCTATTTCAAAAGGCATATAGTAAGTTCCCAATGAATGTCAACTTCGATAACACTGTGGTTATTATTGTTGTTACAGGAAGTATGATAAATTCTGGGGCTACGAGGTGAGTAGGATGTGGCTTTCTGCACTTGAACTAGTGGGAAAAGATGCAAGGACATGAGCAAAGGCAACGTGAAAAGGTGCTCTAACAGATGCATGCACACGGTACTGTGAGAACATAGAAGGACAGCTAATTCAGGGCAGGGAGTGAAGAAGACAGGGTATCAAGACAGTAAGCCTACAAGGTGGGCTAGCTATGCTCTCCAACTCTTGGAGACATGGGGACTCTGAAGTGTATCAGACTCACTCAAAGAAGTCATCCTTCGGGAGATATCAAGGGAGAGTTCCATGACGAAACCACCCTCATAGGAAGGTTCTTCGGTTTATTATTAGCTAAGCCTTTTAGGGTGGATCTCCAGAAAGACAAGTCTCATGACAAATTTTTGGTAGGGCTCCAATATATATACTGAGAATTCCTAGAACAGGCAAGTTGACACAAGGGAATTCTTGCCCAGAATGGTCTGTTTACTCAGTGGATATGAATTATCCTGAACTGTGTGGAGTGGGGAGCTGTTTGGCCTGATGGCTCTGGTCCGATTTACATAGAAGGATGTCTGCTCATACACTGTTTACTCTTGAAACTACAGTGACAGCACAGGCTTTGTGGCCAGGCCGACCTGGTTTGATTCTGACACCTTCACATAGCAGTTCACCTTGGCCACATGACTTTACATCTCTGAGACTCCATCACCTCAAATGAAACTCGTAAGATCTATTTTGCAGAACTGCAGGTGAGGATTAAAATAAGTATCAGTAAAATGCCTAACACAGGAGTTGGCACATAATACTTGATAAGTAACAACAAGAGCTAACATATCTTCCTAGGGACTAACCATGTCCCAGCCACTACTCCAAGAGCTTTACCACATGTAATCCTCACATAAGCTCCATCTGACAAACAGAAAACTGAAGCCAAACAAGCTATGACACTTGTACAATGTCAAATTGTGGTCCCATTTGTGTCTCTACCTATAGGTTAGTCTCCCTTGCTTGAGGAAAGAACACAAGTAGGGGAAAGTAGAAACAGGCCCAATAATTCCTCTTTCAGTCTTACCCTTCTCCTTTGCCAGTTCTGGGTAAGGTTCCAAGTGGACACTCTGGGTAAGGTTTCCAAGCTGAAACTGTTTCTGTGATTACTCTCTGAGCACTAAGCCTAATTGCCAGCTGAATCACGAGACAGAAGACCCTGTTCTACCATCTTAGCAACTTCTGTTAGGAAACACTGAGGGTGGGTGTGTGTATAAGGTCAGAGCTCTATGTGCTGAGCTGCAGCTTTAAATTCAGTGCTCCCACTTAATGGCTGGGGCTTCTGAGGACAGCAAACCTGTTAACCAGAACTTCCCATACAGAAATTCATTTCTAGAGCTTTCTGATATAATGGATTTTTGAGAAGTTTTTCCCTACCCCATGTAGCTAGAGAGATAAAGAAGTCCAGCTACTGCATGCTTGATCAAGGAGTATCTGAGTCACTGGAGTGCTTGGTAGGTAAAAGATGGGTATTTGCTATGGTTCAAATGTGGTCCCCCAAATTTCATGTGTTAGAAACTTAATCCCCATTGTAACGGTATTAAGAGGTGGAGGTTTTAAGAGGTGAATAGGCCATGAGGGTTAAGCTTCATGAATGAATTAATGCTGTTACTGTAGGAGTAGGCTGGTTATTGTGGGAATAGGCTACTGATTACAAAAATGAGTTCTGCTTAATTCTGTCTCATGGGATCACTTCTGCCTTCTGCCCTTCAGCCATGCAATAATGCAGCAAAGGCCCTCATCAGATGCCAGTGCCATGTTCTTGGACTTCCCAGCCTCCAGAACTATGAACCAAATAAACTTCTATTGTTTGTAAATTACCCAGTCTGTGGTATTCTGTTACAGCAGCAGCAAATGAACTAATACAGTATTCTTCTCCTTTTTAAGTTGGAATCAAGGTTTGATGCTTAACAGACTGGATTTGGGAGATTTAGATTTCTGAGAGAGAGAGAGAGAGAGAGAGAGAAAAGAAGAGAAAGGAGAGAGAGAGAGGTGTGAAGGCATAAAAATGGAGCAAACTAACTCTGTTCAAGCTCCAAATTCCAAATGTTTCCATAGTGATACATAAGTAGTCCATTTTGACACCTGCTTCTGGAGAGTCAGGTATCTTTCTGGCACTTCTCAAGGAAGGTTCTTGGATGTGGGAAGAGCGGGTGGTGGTGACAGAGTTAAAGGAGGAGGCAGGCACAACAATAAACCTTGGAAATGTCAATGACTGACTTTAGAAGTACAGTCTTTGGGACTCTCTGAGTGAAGAGAGCTTAAAGGGCATTACCAGAGAAGAGGCCACAGACAAAGGAGAGGGCAAGCAGGGAGGCTGAGGGGAGCTATGTCCAACAGTGTCCAGGTCCTCTATGTACCATGCCAGAGCCCCAAGTCCAGCACTGGAGGTTCAGTCAGAGAATGAACCTCTCTGTGAAGAGGCCAGTGCTTCCTAACCTGGAATGCTCTATGAAACAGACAACTTTCGTGGTATCTGCCCAGCTAGTTCAATGCTG